TTTCCCCTTCTCTCCACGGCACCAACAGTGCGGTACCTGCACAGAGCATGGGTTTACACCACTGAGAAAACTGCTGGCTTCTCCAGTAACAATGAGCTTGGTGTTTCTCTAAGCATGGGAGGCCGGGCCCATGTAACAGTGTATGCACGGAATTAAAATCCCTTGTTCATCTAAACTGATGAGGCTTTTACTTGTCCTAACAGGTATCTCGCTGTAAAAACTGTCCATTGTAACTGTTCTTTCCCACTGATGGCTGAAGCTTTGAGTACAAGATGGTATTTTTCATTGTTACGAAGCACCACGTTCCCCACCCAAACACTGCTGCCACCCCCACCTCCACCTCCACCTCCGCCCCCCTACCTGTTCAAACCAGGAGCCTTCTCCTTTCTCTTCTTCCCATAAGAACAGCCTGGTGCACCTGCTATTTCTCACATTAGTGGCGTTTCTCTTTTTCTGCAAGTTCTATCACTGTTGCCTTTCCGAATTGCTTGATGATAAGCTGAAGTGGCTGCGTAGCTGCATGTAAAACTGTTCGTAAAGGAACTGGGTCTCAAGCGCACACACACATCCCCTCAGCGACCTGAAGTATAGGAAGAGGACAGCACCTGCTTTTTCTCGTGGATCCTTAAAACGTGACCTGCTTTTCGTTAGCTTGCTCCATTGGATGGGGAACCCCACTTGGATGTGAGACGCAGTGAGCCTGGCTGTTCAGGACAGGAGGGTCTTTCTTAGTAATGGCTTTCAAGTGCACATCCTCTCCAGAGAGATGGCATTCTGTTCTCTTTCAGAGAGAGCTTGCGGGGCTCAAAAGGGCCTTTATGAAAACCTCTGTGGACAATGTACTTGCCTGTCTGTGCCTTGGAGTCCATAGAGATAAAAGGTCCTATATTTTAGAGCCAGATAACAGAGAAATTATGAGACAAGTGGCATCTAGAAGCTTGCAAAATGCATTTTATCTGGGACGAATACGAAAGAAATTTTGAAAAGAAATAGAGAAAGCAACCTGTACTCTGATGGGCAAATATTTTGCAAATCTATTACTGATTTTTATTTTTTAAATTATGGCCAGGTTTTCTAGTTTTCTCTTTTACTAGGAAAAAAAAAAAAGTTATCCCGGAAAAATATTGGAGATTACCAATGTATTGATCAGTTAAAAAAAAAAGGCCAGCATAATCAAGTCTCTGAAATGTCATTTTTATGACTTGCAAAATAGATTAGAGATTTTTTTTGTCCTTGCCCAGTATTGTATGAGCTGTTTTTAGGTCTCTCCTGCAAGCTGATGAAGTTGCAGGTCTCCTAAGTTGGAAGAAGACAGGGCCGAGACTCCTTGTGCCTCCCCCTGTGCCTATGGCCAGGAGCTGGTCCGTGGATGCCACTGCCCGCCTAGTGGACACTGCAACTCCTGAGCACCTAAGGCAGTCCCAGGGCTGCACGCTACACTGAGAGCCACGTGCTCATTTGAGGCTCCGTAGCTGGGTGTGCCATGAGAGTGTGTGCATTTAAAAGGCTTTTGAAAAGCAGTGACCAGAAATGCCTCCCACGAGGGCAGTGTTAGCAGCGGCATAGAGTTAAACGCCCCTCTCGCACATTCAGGGTAGGGAGGGGATGGTCACGAGATCACTGGGACCAGATGAAGGATTTGAGAATTACCGGAAATGCAATGATGTCTGAAGCAATTAAAGCAATACAGGACCATTTCTGAAAAATTGGGCAAGTGATTTTGAGAGCGTGTGTTCAGGGGACAGGTGACCTCTTCCTAATCTCTGTGCACCCAGCGCCTTAATTAAGCCCTTGTGCTGCCTCTAATGAATCGCCCCAGTGATTTATCAGAACTCTGCGATGGAGGGCGTAACTTGGCGTTCATTTGTCATAAAGGAAAACGCAATCAGACTCTCAGGGCATTCATAATTTCCCTGCACAGCAATGGCCATCAGTCACTCTGTCTGCTCCCCAGTGCCTGGGGAGTGTCCTCACAACAGGCGGTAGGCTGTGAGATCTGAGCTAGCCTTAGGAAGCTGGAGCAGTCACAGCAGACTCACTCTGGTTTGCTGCTTGCAAAATGGGCTACTTCAGTGAATGAAACCCAATTCCATGTAGGTCTCATAACTCTGCAGCTTGGACACTGGCCTTATTTTTGGGGCATGCTCTTCGCAGCCACCTGTGTGGACACCAGCTTGTACAGACTTATCACACGCCATGGCTCAAAGAGTTTTAAGTACTCATCCAGCTGCCAAATTCTAATCACCCTCATTAGCATATTTTGTTGATTGCTGAATGGCGCATGAGCTGCATATCTTAGTTTGGGCTGTGTCACCTGTAGCTTTGCAAAGCCTCAAGTAGGTTCTCTCGCAAGGACAGGAGGGAGCCCCTTCCCAGGGACGCAGCTCGAGTTAGCAAACTTGAACTTCCGAGTCTTGTGCCTCTCCCTTCCTCGTAATTGCTGGGAGATTTTTAGACCTGATTACTAGGTATTTACTGAGTGAGTATTGGCCTTTCTGTTTAAATACACCTCTTGCCCCTCCTGTCTTAGGCCATGTGAATAGGCACAAAGCCAGCTGGAGTAGCCTTTTGGGGAAAAGGAACGGCCCTGACTCGGTCATCCCCAGGTGTGCGTGTTGCATAACAAGTTCATGGCTGTCATGCACAGGTCAGGTGCAGCAGGCTTTCCCCCAGCGAACAGTAGGCTGATCCTGAGCTGTCGCCTCTAAGTACACAGGTGACCGTGAGGGTCATGTTCCGCTGTCCACTTCCTGAATCCTGCCTCCACCGTGGGCCCATGGGTGCTCCTTCAAGCCTGAACAACTGTCCTTGAGATGTGTGCCATTGCTTCTCTCCTGGAACCATCGTGCTCTGTCAGCCGCTCGCTCAGCCTGCCCGTCTACTCACAGACGTGTTCCTGGGTGGAACTGTGTGCAGAGGCTTCAGCTTTGGGCCTTCGGGGGGACGTGTTTGTATTGGAATGTGCGCACCTGACCTGCTCCCTGGCCGTGCGGCCCTTTGCGCTCAGTCTCTCTCTCTGCTGGATGCTGTCCAGAGCCTGATTGCACCCCGCACCCCTTAACAGCCCTTCTCAAGGCCTCTTCCTCTTGCCTCCGCCTCTCTCACTGATGAGGTCCTTGCTCTTTCTGTTCCACGGCACTGCGAATCCAAGCCCCAGCACGCTGTTAACACCGGCCCCACCCGACCTGACGCCCTGTGCGAGAGAGCTGATGGGGAAGCCCCCAATTTTGTCAGCTGATGGAGGACAAATGAAACATGACGCTAACAGCAACTCACAAGTGCATGAAATGTTTCCAGCACCTGCCACTGCCACAGTCGCTCTCTTCTGATCCCGATTTGTAGCGATAACGTTGCTCTTTTGGTGATGTTTTTGGAAAAGAGACCAGTGTAGTGCTTTGAAACGATTGCAGTTCTGCCTTGTCACTATTTCTCATTGCCAAGTTCCAATTCTTGCACGATTGTTGTATCCCGTTGTGCACTGGTGTCAATAAAATTGACATTTGTGAAGCAATTTCTGGCCTTTTTCTCCGGGGTTTACTGGGGCTGGTGGTGTGTGGGCTGTCGGGTCTGTCTCGAAACACCAGGGCTTCATTTCCGTGATGTGTATTCCAAATGGGAAGACTTGGCAGTGGAGGGATTTTTAAAACTGGGAACTTCTTGAATCTGCCTTTTCTCACGTTTTCTAATCATGTCATTCGAGGATCATGGCACTGACCGATGGCCAGTGGGCAGGACATCTGCTTTTGTTTTCTAGATGAGGTGGCTTTGCACCGCTGTGCTGGTCAGCTGGGGACTTCAGGCACAGGGGCTATCGTGAACATCTAGAACCTTTGGAGTTTCTGTGTGGTCATTCGTGCTGGGACCACGGCCACCGCCTGCCCCAGTTCCGCTGCACCCCAGGCTGTGGTCTCTTGTCATTTCCAAAGGCAGAGCAGTAACTCCAGCCCATGACAACAGGGAGGTGCTTGCAGGAAACTAAACCTCACCTTAACTTTGAAGACGTAGGCAGCAGTGAGCCTGACCCACTGTCACCGTCAGCTTTCCTATAGGGTAGCAGGACTGCCGCATGTTAATTTCACTTCGTCTACCCACCGTTAGCTCCGCCCAGCCTGCTTTAGAAGCTCACATGTGAGTGTTGGGGAGAGAGACTCGGGCTGCAAGTCCATTTTGAAACTTGCATGTAGCTCCCAAGAGTTTAGGTACAGACGATCTGCAAAATTGCGCTGGCAAAGAGTGTCCTGGACACGTCACGTTGTAACGGGTAATGTGTGCGTTTTCACATGATGTAACACGGTATGCTTTCTCCAGGACTAACTCGTTAGCTGCCAGCCTTGCCTCCCCAAGGGGAACTGTGATCATGTAATGACCTCCACCTTTGCATTTGTCATTGACCTCCATTGCATGTGACATGATGCTAGTGTTTCTGTCCCAAACAGTGAGAGACATGGAATGACATCACCAGGTATAACAAGCTTGCTTCTGTTCTTTGTAGAATGGGGACTTAGTCGCTTGGCCTTTCTCGTAGCTGTGACCCAACGTTCTAAGACGTAGCGTGTCCTCTGAGCACACCAGCCCTTTAGATGCTTGTTAGTGTAGCTCTACTTTCTAGTCATTTCTCATGCCTCGTTGTGGTGTAGATACTGTCTTTCTTGAGTAATTTCTAGAAGCAGCAAAGGTAGTAGTTAAAGGACGAAAATACTCCTTGGAAATATACTATGCTTTCACGCTCCTTTAATTGTTAGCTAAAAGAGTTCTCTATTTTACTGTTAACTTTATAACTGAGGCTCCACTGGATTAGTCATGCTTTGGTATCTTTAATATTAAGGCAACTTGGACTTAGGAGGAAAATGAAAAACTAGAAAATAACGAACGGCATTGAGTTTGCCACAAGGTAGACCAGTTTCTAGAGACGTGCAGAGGTGAACATTGTGAATGGAAACCAGGTCCCAGGTGGAATTACTTTTTTTTTTTTCTCTTTAAAACTTCTCATCCCCAAACAGGCTCCCTGACTGGTAGCCCTCACCTTTCAGAGCTGTCCATCACCTCCCAGGGAGGAGCCGGCCCCACCAACGTGACCTTGTCTCCCAACCTGAGCCCTGACACCAAGCAGGCCTCGCCCTTGATCAGCCCGCTGCTGAACGACCAGGCGTGCCCAAGGACCGACGACGAGGAGGAGAGCCGGAGAAAGGTGCCGGGAGGGGTGTGGGGGTGTGGTGATTTCTAACTGTGGGCAGAGCACACCAACAAGATTCAGCATTTGAATCCGTTTTAAGGGCATTCAATTAGGCAGAGTGGTATTGAGTCCAGACATGTTGTGGAGCCAACACCACCACCCATCCCCCCAGAACTTCCCATCTTCCCAGACTGGAACTCTACCTGGTAAACCAAAAAACCCTCATCCCCTATCCCTGAGCTGGTAACCACCTGGGCCCTTGCCGTGTCTATGAATGAACTACTTCAGGGCCCTCACCTGAGTGGAATCCTGCGTTTTCTGTGCCTTGTACCTGGCTTATTTGAGCGAGATGTCATCACATTGTCGTGTGTGTCAGTGTTCCTATCTATAAGGCCCAACGATATTCCATTAAACGGGTGGACCACATTGTAGAACTCCATTCATCTCCCAGTGGGCATTCGGGTCGCATCCTGCTTTGGGCTATTGTGAGTAGCGCTGCTATGAGCCTGGTGTGCCAGTAACTCTCTGAGCCTCTGCCTTAATTCTCTTCCGGAGCTAGGGTATAGATACAGAAGTAGAATCAGGTGGACTGTAAGGGGAAGAGAGCAAGGTGGCAGGCAGTAAGGGACTTCCTTTTGTTGTTTAGACAGAAAGCAAAATCCTTGGCCAGCCTGCTCTTAGGTAGTGCTGATGGGCTCCAGGGAATTGAGGGACCATGGCATCGCCAGTGGATTTTGCCCTTGACTCTTTAGACCTTGACAAACAGTATCACTCCCACTTCACGGAGAGCAACCCTGTCAGCCCGCGGCACCAGGAAGAGACCATAGTTTGTCTCTCACGTATTTCCTTGGAGACTGCCTCCCTCTGTCATTTTACCAATCTGAATCTTTTCACTGCTGATAATACTGACACAGAGGAAACATTCCTAGACTATACAGGGTGGGGACAGGAGAGGCCTTCAGATACTCATGGAAGATGCATATTATACAAACTATGTAAGAATTTCATTTTTTTGCATCCACGCAATTTATCTTTGAATTTCATCTTTCCATGAACTTTTCAAAGTGCCCCGTGTTCTCAGCACGAAAGCCTTTCTGTTATCCTAGTTCCTTCCCCACGAGAAGGAGAACCAGTGAGAGTTCCTTTGGCCCCAGTGCCAGCTCAGCAACAATGATACGTGCGTAATAGATCGTTTTCGTCATGACTGCCATAATGAGGGCATTCTTAGGCATGTGCACTCAACAGCGATGATCCTGTCTTATCTCTTGCTGGGCATTGCAGAGATTCCCGACGGACAAAGCCTACTTCATTGCTAAAGAAGTCTCCACTACCGAGCGGACCTACCTGAAGGATCTGGAAGTCATCACCTCGGTGTGTGCAACCTTTTCCTTACGGCCTTAAATTACATCATTTACGGGAACTCACGCTGCGGCTGATTCCGTGTGGCGCCTCTGGTTTCGGTGGAAAGGATTTTACTCTGGGTTTATAGAAATCAGATGCTAAGAGTGTATGCGGAATGTACTCAGAAAATGTTTAGAATTAGGCCGGCGCCGTGGCTCAATAGGCTAATCCTCCACCTTGTGGCACCGGCACACCGGGTTCTAGTCCCGGTCGGGGCACCGGATTCTGTCCCGGTTGCCCCTCTTCCAGGCCAGCTCTCTGCTATGGCCAGGGAGTACAGTGGAGGATGGCCCAGGTGCTTGGGCCCTGCACCCCATGGGAGACCAGGAAAAGCACCTGGCTCCTGGCTCCTGCCATCAGATCAGCGCAGTGCGCGGGCTGCAGCGCGCCGGCCGCGGCGGCCATTGGAGGGTGAACCAATGGCAAAGGAAGACCTTTCTCTCTCTGTCTCTCTCTCACTGTCCACTCTGCCTGTCAAAAAAAAAAAAAAAAGTTTAGAATTGTGATTTTTTAAGCGGAAAGGAATGAAGTTCTTCAAGTGAAGAAAATTTAGATGTTTTCCTGTCCATTTGCACTGATCTAGAATGTTCCATCTTTGCCCATTGTCAAATGTCGCTCCTTATTTCCGCTCAAGGGGGCCCTCAGAGATGAACGGGAGCCTCTTTTTCTCTTTGGTGATAAACGGAGCCCCCCAGGAGTCTCCCCCCAGGAGACTCCCTCTGTGACTGGAATCAGGGCTGGGCAGCCTTGGGTACAAATCTAGGGCCTCCAGATGCCCTTCCGACCGCTGGCTTCTGGGAGCAGCCCAGCTGTGGGGAGGCGGACTGTAGGCAGTGAGTTTCTCTGTCTCTTGGGCTGTGTGTTGTGCTTGGCCCCGGGCAGGCCCTCGCATCAGCAGTGTGGGCCACTGTGGGTCCTCATGGGCCACCTGGCCGCTCAGCGTTTTAGCAAAGGAGCAGGGGTGGCAGTTTCTCAGAGGCGCAGCGGAGGGTGCTCCGTGCTCCTAAGTGAGGGCTTAGCCAGGAGTTGGCCAGCATGGAGTTTCCACCGGGGCCGTTGGCCGTTGAAGAGATGTGTCCTGGCTGACACAGTGGGTGGAGCCGGTTTCAGGAAGCAGTGATGCAGGTGTGAGTACATCTCCCCAGCTTCACGGAAGGACGGGAGAGCACGGGGCCTGGCCACCCAGCGTGTTCTGGGGGCGCCGGAGGCGTAGCAGGAGCGCAAGCTCACATCGGCCGCGTGGCTTCCGCAGCACTTGGACTTGAATCATGAATTCTCCCCCTGACGCTTCCTCTCTCTGTCCCCAGTGGTTCCAGAGCACAGTCAGCAAAGAGGACTCCATGCCCGAAACGCTGAAAAGTCTCATCTTCCCCAACTTCGAGCCTCTGCACAAATTCCACACCAATTTTCTCAAGGAAATTGAGCAACGACTCGCCCTGTGGTAAGTGCCGTCTGGCTGGAGTCTCTGTTTCCGATGGCGTTTCTGTATCATCGCGGATAAGCAGCAGACAAAAGGCAAGAAACTGGCTGTTCACAAACCGACCTTCGAGTGATTTTCAATTCTGTGTGTCGCTAAGTCTCTGCCTCCATATGTTTCCCTTGGTTTCCAGTTCTTCAGAATGCTCTTTCCCTCTCGCCATGACCATGTGATTATCATGAAGTCAAGATGGTGGTGACGTTTGAAAGGCTGATGCGGGTTATAAAGGGCAGGGGCCTTGCAGGACGCTGGCGCTCGCTTGGCTCGTTTGTGAAGTGCACACAAGGGGCGTCCAGAAGGCTTGTGGAGGAGGGGGTTTGGTTTGACACAGCGGCCAAGATGTTACATCCAGGCCTGCAGGGCCTGGATTCGGGTCTCAGCTCCACTTGTCTCCCAGACAGCTTCCTTCTGTGGCACCCGCTGGGAGGCAGCAGGGGAATAGCTCAGGTTCTTGTGTCCCTGCCACCCACGTGGGAGCCTGGATTGGCTTCTGCATTCCTGATTTTCACTTGGTCCAGACCCAGCTGTTGTGGGCATTTGAGGAATGAACCAGCAAAGGAAAGATGGCTCTCTCTCTCTCTCTCTTGCCATTCAAATGAATGAAAATGCAAAAAGGTGGGTTGTTCTTTTTTTAAGCTTTATTTACTTATTTGAAAGTCAGCATTACAGAGAGAGAAAGCAAGAGCACTCTCCCATCTACTGATTCACAGATGGCCACGATGGCTGGGGTTGGGCCAGCCCAAAGCCAGGAGCTTCGTGCAGGTCTCCCACATGGGTCACAGGGGCCCACACACTTGAGCCATCTTCAGCTGCTTTTCCCAGATCATTAGCAGGGAGCTGGATTGGAAATCGAGCAGCCAGGACTCGAACTGGTGCCCATATGGGATGCCAGCGTTATAGGCAGTGGCTTTACCTGCCACCAGTAAAGTTGTTTTGTTTTTTTAAAGTTCATGGAAGGAGCCAGTGCTGTGGCATAGCAGGTTAAGCCTCTGCTTCTAGCACCAGCATCCCACATGGGCGCTGGTTCCAGTCCTGGCTGCTCCACTTCCAGTGCAGCTCCCCGCTGTTGCAACTGGGCAAGCAGTAGAAGCTGGCCCAAGTGCTCGGATCCCTGCACCTCCATGGGAGACCCGGAAAAAGAAGCTCCCGGCTTCGGGTTGGCCCAGCTCTGGCCTTGCAGCTGTCTGGGGAGTGAACCAGTGGGTAGAAGGTCTCTCTCTGTCTCTCCCACTCTGCCTCTCAAATAAATAAATAAATCTTTAACAGAAAAGTTTACAGAAAATAGAATTTAAAGACAAGTTTATTTTTGTACAAAAAAATGGAAAATCATACATATAGGAGTTTGAAAAATTTCAAGGTAAATGCATATTATAGAAGAACTATGCATGAGCTTCAAATGTTTTGGCACCAAAATAAATTTAATTCCATTTTTCCACAACATTTTTTATAGTAGGCACATTTGTCTTCTGCAGTTTTCTATATTGAATTTTTACAGTGCTTAAAAAGTGCTTTGAAAAATGCAAGCCCTATGCAACACATGAACTCCCACAAACTTTCCACACTTTGACCTTGATGAGCATAGGGGTATATATTAATATGTGAAATGGCATATGAACAAAGACCTTCAGTGCAGATTTCAGACTGGAGAGGAACTAAACAGTAGTTAGTGGCAGATGAGTTTAAAGTAATGTTAGGAATGTCCATTAAAAACCAAAGGAAGCATTAATCTGGGAGGAGAGGGAGGTACAAACAAAACCCAATCTGCTAGCGAATGCAAAATCTGTTTTGCCATTACCTAAAATAGGACCCTTTACAGAAAATTCTTTGTAGTATTTTTAAGAGCAATTTTATGTAGACAGACACATGGGAAGTTGACTATCTACAGAAGACGCATTTGAAAAATGCCAGGAAAAAATAGCAAAAGGCTTCTGCTGTGTTTTCAGCAGAAATGGGTGCAGGGAAGTCACTAGAGGTGATAAGCTCTTTCTTTAAGAATTTAAAAAATTTAAAAAAGAACTACAGAGAAAAAGAGAGAATCGTACATCCACTGGCTCACTCCCCAAATGATCACAACGCCTTGGACTGGTCCAAGAACCAGGAGCTTCTTTGGGTCTCCCACATGGGTGCAGGGACCCAAGCACTTGGGCCATCCTCTGCTGCTTTCCCAGGCACATTAGGGAGCTGGATCAGAAGAGAAGCAGCTGGGACTCGAACCGGCGCCCATGTGGGATGCTGGCACTGCAGGCAGCAGCTTTACCCACTACACCACAGTGCTGGCCCCAAGTTGGTTTGAAGTGGTCCTGGGGGCATTTATTGATAAAAGGCCAAACAGATCCCAGCATGAGGTTGTCTTGGGTCAGGAGGTCCAGAACCGGGCTTCCAGCACCCGCCTCGCAGAGGAGCTGAGCTGCACCCCTGCACTGTGGGGACGATCCGTCCGTGGACTCAGGGTGTCTATAGCTGGCACCACGCACTGTGGCAGCTCGGGTCCCCATGACGGCTGATGTAAATGACGCCAGAGGTCATGCGTCTGAATTATCCATTTGCGGTCCCGTCGGCTCAGCTCTGGAGGGGGAGCTGCCGGCACAGCTAGTCTAGGGATAAACACTGCATTCATGGGTTTATCAGGGACCGTACTCTGTGTCCCGTGACCCTTACCTGTGAGAGGAAATCCAGGTGCAGTGGTCAGGTTCAGTTTATCAGTTCAAGTGCATGGTCAGGAGGCCTGGCTGGACAGCGATTCCGGAGGCAAAGGTGGCGAGTGGGGGAATTCAGTCACATCCCTCTCTGTGTAGCTGGCAACACTGGCAGCTCATTAAAATCATGTAGAACCTTCTAAAAATCTTCACCACCAGGCCAGAAGCCCAGACCACATCTGTCAGCATCCCAGGTGATTCTGAGGTGTTAGCCAAGGTCAAGAACTCTGCCCTGGGCTGCCTCATTAGGAAAGACCCAGAGCAGGGAACAGGTCAAGGCCAGAGCTGAGGCAGAAGTCTATGCTGTCCTGAGTTTCACATTTGAAGTGGGATCATGAAGCTGCATTCCATTAAAAAAAAAAAACTGTAAAATAAAAGGAAAATCGAGGTGATGGAGGAACTGGGGCATCTGACCTGGCAGGGGGCAGACCTTGGAGAACCAAGGGCAGGGCCACCTCCACGTCTGCAGGCTGAGCTTCTGGGAAGGGACTGAGTGTCTGGTGACTAACACTGCAAGGGAGGTTGGCTCTGTGCAGGGACGAGACCTCCCGAGAGCAGGTGCAGCTTAGCGGTCGCCGGCTGCCATGGGAGCTGGTGTGTGCCTGCCCCTGGTGCTGTCCGGTACAGCACGTGTCACAGTCCATTTCCAGAAGCTGTTTGTTGAAAAGAAAATTCCCCAGCCTTGGTAGTGCATCTGGGTGGGCAGGGATGGTGGCTTTGAAAAATGCATGTGTCCAGCCCTCGTCCATCCTTCCTGAACCCACTCGTTGGCGGGCAGGTCCCAGACATCTGTGTTTTTTAAAGTGTTCCTTGGGCTGACCAGGACGAGTACCTCGTTTTGGGACAGCTGACCCTGCGCTGCCTCTGACAGTCCCGAGAAAGTCTGATCCTTGCCTTGTGTTCCGCGTGCTGGTCGTAACCCTATTGCTTTATTCTGTACACAGTGAGCGGCTGAGAAGCGGAGTGTGTGAAGGTCAGACTTTGCCCACAGGGAGCTTGCACTGTGTAAGAAGGCAGGCAGCTGGGGCGAGAGGACCAGGTCCCCCTGTGGATATAGGCACCACGCCCGGGAGGGCACGCGGTGTTGCCGCCAGCCAGCTCTGCCCTCGGTGACCCCAGGGCCATTAACGCCTGCATGTGTTGAGTGAGCAGGAGGGACCATCTCTCTGGGCACATGTATGTGTGTTTATATTCATGCATGGGAAACATGGGCTGGCCCATGCCAATTGGGATGGTTCAGATCCAAGTTCAGGTTTACCCCAGCACCTTGGGTCTATATCCAGCTGTCTGTGGACCCCACTGGGTCTCATTTCCTTGTCTGTGGCATGGGCTGTCACACAAGGTAAATGAGACCATGTTTGTGTGCTCCGTGCATTGCAAAGGGGAAAGCTGATTTGCTTAGCTCAACTTTGGACTTTGAGCTAATTTGCGTCCAGGGAAAAGTCGCCAAGACAATAGTGTGTGTGTGTGTGTGTGTGTGTGTGTGCGCGCGCGTGCGCGTGCCTGCATGCACTCCTCCCCAACCTGTCCCCTGGCATTTGCATTCTTCCATCTCCAGAAGATGGTCCTCAAAACTGAGAAGCTAATATTGGTTCCGTATTGGTTCATTCGGGTTTTATTCAGTGATTGTATTTTAAGTTATGGTTGCGGCTAATGAACCTACCACTTACTCTGTGCCAAAGGTTCCCCCATGTCTTGCACGCGAGCGATGCAGTCATCTTAGGTCTGCCTGACACGTCCTGTGCGAGGCCACTGTACACTCCAGTCAATGGTGGGAAATCACAGGGCAGAAAAAGCAGCAGAAGTTTCCGGAATAACCACGCTGAGCCCCGGCTTTGTCAACACACCTGCCCCTGTGCAAATGTCACCTTCTCCTAAGTCAACACACCTAAGCCGCGGAGGGTTCCCAGGGCCGGGTTCTTGGCTGGCAAAACCCAACTTACCTGTTTCGTTTTAAAAAAAAAAAAAAAGAGGGAGGGAAGGAAGAAAAGAATAACAAAACAAAAACAAAAAAACTGGAAGAACAGCTTTGCCTTTTTCCTTTTGGAAGCAAGGATAATTTGCTCAGCTGCTCCAATACGTTGAGAGAAAGCCACCTGCAAACAGCCCTTGGCACGGTCAGGGCCCCCCAATTCCAGCCCTGGAGGGGCCGGCCAGCTGATCCCCAGGGATGGGTGGAGGCCAGTTGTGGTCCAGAGGTCCGTGGCTGTGTGTGCTGTGTACAAAACTTAGCTTTGGGGCCCTACAGAGCTGGGGTACTGTGAACAG